GCGGCCTCGAATTCCTCGCCGACGCGCTCGCCCTCATATCACGACGCTTCGAAGTTCTCCAAGTCGAAGACGCCTCCGACTTCCGCACGGCCAAGCGTTTCAAGCTGTACCAGCAGAAGAGTTTGCTTACCTCAAGGCCTTTCAAGCAGGCCGTCGCTGACGTGGCCGCCATGGACCGCGCCGAGGGCGGATTTGCTCGTGGAAATCGCGGAGGCGGCCGCATGCCCATGCCGTTCGTGCCAAAGCGTGGTCCGCCGCCTACGGGAGAATTCCGTGGCTTCCGAGGCACTTGCTTCCGCTGTGGCCAGCCGGGGCATGTGGCCAGCCGCTGCCCGGCGATTGGGCATGGTGGCCAAGGACCCGCACCAGTGGTGTAGGGGTCGGGCCATGGGAGCTTGCGCAAGTGGCGCAAGGCGCAAGGCACCCGGTGTGTGCGTAGGCCATTGGGCCCACCCCTTAGGGGCACGGGTGGCAGAGGGCCAGCCCTAGTGTAGGCCAATCAAAGGCCCTAGGATCAGAGCAAGGGAAGGGGAACATGCCCCCTCGGTCCCAAATGATAGCCCGACCTTGCAAGGCGGACTTTGCATGCCTAGGAGCATGTTGAGTAGAGATAAAGCTTGGTTAAAATAAGGAGCCACGGTCCTTCATTTTTTTTTTTCAGGTCTTGGTCCCCTAATATAACCAGAGAAAAGGGGGAGCAGCACCATAAGAGGTGCAGCAAAAAAAAAAAAAAAAAAAAAAGAGGTGGGGGGGGGGATTGAGCACGGAACGGGGAAGCATAGTGGGTGGCTCAACCCCCGCTGCATGTCACGCAGCACCCCCGGCCGGAGAAGGAAGGCCATCAGGAACACCAATGGCCCACCACTTACCCACACAGAGTTGCTCCTCGATTGGACATGCAAAAAAAAAAAAAAAAAAAAACAGAATTCCAGCATTATGCGAGCCTTTACAAGGTGCCTACCCTCCAACCCGGTGTGCTACACCCTGGACCCTAAGCATTACCCCTCCGTGGGCATACAGGAACAGCCACACCAGCCTCATCTAGGGCTGCCCAGCTTGGCATTGAAAAAAAAAAAAAAAAAAACGAGTCACATAAGCATGCGCGCACGCACGCGGTATGGCCCACGAACGGGAACAGCAACACAACACCGCACGCATGCCACACAAGCACACAAGAGGTGGCTAGAAGAAAGACAAAAAAAAAAAAAAAAAAAAAAAAAAAACACGGGCGTTGAGTCTCAAAACCTAAGAAATGATAGCGCAAGCGAAGGCGGCAATAAGAGGGTAACATGCGTTCGCGAGTAGAAGCGCGGGTGAAGGCACAAGTTGTGGGAATACGAGGGCACCAAGGGAAGCAAACGTCGGGGCTCAGGTTCGAACGCAAGCTCGGCATGCGTAGGCGTGCAAACCGACACACACGCATGTCACGCCGCTCAGACCCGCTCAAAGCGCAGGCACCCACCGACCTAAGCATCTTGCTCGCATGTGGCACCTCAACCCGGCACGCCCTCCTCAGCCACTAGGCTTCACACTCCCCCCCCCCCCCCCCACGCTCTAGGTTTCCGGTAGGCATCAGCCCTGCAGATGAACTCAAGTATTCGTCCCTTGCTTCTCCTTGCATGATGGCACTCCCACAGGCACCAGACTTCGCGAATGTGCACACAACAGTGACCCCTACGAATACGCGGTTACTGACAAGATGGTCACCAAAATGCGTGGCCGCCTACGTACCACGTTCGCTTGGTGGAGCTCGTGGTGCACTAGCAGTTTCATCCTCTCAGTCATTGCCAAAGGATACTGGATGCCATGGAAACTCGGGCCGCCGCCGGCCTTTCACGATCGCAACCATGCCGGCGCACGCATCCACGAAGCATTCACGCGCACGGCCATCCTTGAACTCACCGAGACCGGCGCGGCCATCCAAATTCCTGCGGCGAAACTGAGATGCATAAGCCCACTCAACGTGGTCGAGCAGAAAGACAAGTGTCGCATGATTCTGGATCTCCGAAAGGTGAACGACGCAATAATCGTCCCCAAATTTAAATATGAGGGACTCAACCGCGTAGCGGACCTCGCCCGCCAAGGAGATTGGATGTTCTCCATCGACTTGAAATCAGGCTACCACCATGTCGACATCCACCCCTCGTGCTGGACGTTCCTCGGCTTTGAATTCGACGGGCGCACATACGCCTTCCGATCCTTGCCGTTCGGCCTCGCCACAGCACCATTCGTCTTCACGCAGCTCATCAAGCAATTAGCTCGGCGATGGCGGGAGCAGGGGGTCCGCGTGATACCCTACGTGGACGATATCCTCTTCCTGTGCTCGACCCAGGCACACGCTCAAGCCACGTGCCAACGGATCGTTATCGATCTCAAGGCTGCCGGGCTCGTACTCAACTCAAAAAAGTCAAAGCTGATACCAACACAGCACCTTCGGTTCCTTGGCGTAGAACTTGACACACAGGCCGGCCGGTTCTCCATCGGCGAGGAGCGGCGAGCCACACTCAACGCCACCCTCCATGCCCTACTGCGCGCAAGCTCAGCTCAGCGGAAAGTCCCAGTCCGGCAACTGGCCCGAGTTACAGGCATGCTGGCATCGATGGCTGTCGCACTCGGCACCACCACCCGAGCGTTCAGCCACGCCATGCTAGAAACAATCAACGACGCGCCGACATGGACCAGCATGGTCATCCTCTCCCCACCCGCCATCGAAGAGCTGAGATTCTGGATCCAAGAGTTCGACCGTTTCAACGGTGCCCCGTTCCATGTGCGGCACAGCTACGATGCAGTCATCCACGTAGACGCAAGTGCCCACAGCTGGGGTGCCACGCTGAACACATTCCCTGGAGCCGCGATAGAGGCCAGCGCGGCAATGCCCGGAGCCCTTCATCCAACCTCCAGCACACAAAGAGAGCTCGCCGGCGTGCTGTGGGCGCTACAGACGTACGCGCCTAGAATCCGGAAGAAACACGTGCTAGTGCGGGTGGACAACCAGGGCGTGTTCTTTATCCTTCGCAAAGGAGGTTCCCGAAGTCCCGACCTCACCACCATGTGCAAAGGCATCATCCAAAAATGCATGGAGTTCGAGATTCGGCTAATCATCGAATGGATCCCACGCGATCTGAATGGTCGCGCAGACGAGCTCTCCAAGCTAGTCGACCACGATGACTACTCGTTGAAGCTCCCATGGTTTCGCCTCCTCGAGCGTCGCTGGGGGCCCCACTCCATTGACCTATTCGCCAACCCCCAAAATGCACACCTGCCGCGTTTCTGCTCTAAGGTCCCCCACCCCGATGCTACAGCAGCCGACGCCTTCTCACTTGCCTGGACGGCTGAGAACAGCTTTGCATTCCCACCGCCCCAACTCATCCCCGCAGTAATCCATCACGCACAACGCACGAGCGCATCTCTCACCCTCATAGTCCCACACTGGCCTGGCGCAAGCTGGTGGCCGCTCCTCCAGCCCTCCCCTCCATCGTGGGACCCACACATCCAAGCACATATCCCTCTTACACACGGCAGCCAGTGTCTTACAGTCGGCACACATAGTCAAGCATTCTCAGGCACAGGATTACCCAACAGCACTATCGTCGCACTCCGCGTGATATTTGACTAACTAGACTCCCTCGCCTGTCCCCAGATCTGCTTCCAAAGCTCCAACATGACCTGCTTTCCATGCTCGCCCGCTCTCGTGCCGACTCGACCATCCGAACATACGAGCCTTACTGGGTGAAGTTCCGCGCCTTCTGCACGAAGGTCAACCTAACGTTCTTGCCGGCATCGGACATGACCCTCGCGCTCTACCTTGTGTATGTCATCCAACGCAAGGCCTCCTTGTCGGTGGTTCAGCTCACATGCTCCGCCGTGAGCTTTGCCCACAGGATGACAGGCTCAACATGCCCAACCACCGGCCCTTTCACCTCCCAAGTGCGCGACTTCGCGAAGCGACACTGCCCGCGCCCTAACAGGATTAAAGAGCCAGTCTCACTCCATCAGGTCCACGACATGGCAGCCTCCTTCCTACATTCAACTAACCCGGCTGTGTTCCAAAAAGGACTGATCCCGATTCTCATGTACGCCGGTTTCTTGCGCTACTCGGACCTGGTGGCCATCCAATGGCAGGACATCCAATTTAAAGATGAAGCGATGTGGCTACTCATCCCCCACTCAAAAACCGACCAAGCCGGCCAAGGCACCTGGATCCCTATCGCGGCAAGCCCCGGACCCTTTTGTCCGGTCCAGGGCACCCAGAGGCTCATCCAACTCGCAGGATACAGCCTCCAGTCCTTGGGACCGCTCATCCGGGTCTTCGGACCCCACCTACCGAGCCACGGCACAGCCAGACCGCCCTCATACACCACAATCCGCAACTGGTGCAAGGAAGCCTTCGCGAAAATCGGTCTGGGAGAAGAGCACCTCGGCACCCACTCCTTTCGGAAAGGCGCGGCCACAGTTGCTGCCAACTCTGGGGTTCCTGACAGGATCTTCAAACGCCTGGGCCGTTGGCGTAGTGAAACCGCAAAAGAGATGTACGTCACGCCCGCGACCGATCATCTGGTTGGGGCGTCTCGACGCCTGCAAGACCCGGCGGCGGCACCATCCTCTGCACAACACGCTGAGGCACTTCTCCGCCACCGCAAGCCCCCACTGCACATGTCTCAACGACCCCACTTGAAATGAGAACGATGCCTATTGCAAAGGACAAGAAAGCAAGCTTTCTCAATATTATAATTTTTAACACACGTAGTGTTTTTCAAAAATTGTGTATTGTGAAAGCGAAGCTGATTGTACTGAAGCGTTGGGCATCGTCGAAGCGCGCTACTCGCCCTTCTCCAACTACATATACGTGGGTTGGAGCTCATTTACCTCCACCCACGTCTCTCATTTTTCAAACGGCTCAGTCAACCTTCCCACCCACCCCCCTCTAGACAACCGCCCATCTCCAATGGACAGCCGGTCACTTGAACGGGAGCACACAACTAGGATCATGATGTGTGTATGTTTAGATTCTTATAAGCTAGTAAGCGACTATTGTACCATGCCACTTGAAATGAGAACGATGCCTATTGCAAAGGACAAGAAAGCAAGCTTTCTCAATAGAATGTTTTCTGTGTAATCTTGCGTTGCGGTTGCGGTACATTGCTTGCTAGCCAAAGAACGATTAGAAGATGCCTACGCTGTTTCCAACCCTGGAACCCCCTGTTCCTGACACTTTCTCCTCTAGAAAAAAGTATGTAGTGAGGGGTGTTCAATCAACTCATCGCCCCTTGGACTTGAGTGTTTCGCTTAGCCTGCATGCAGCAAGGGACAGCGGTTGTGCAATGCAGTGCAGTGCAGACAGTGATGGAGTAAGTAATAATATTGGGCATGGGGCAAGCACCTTTTATCATGCACCATGCACCATGCATCACACATTGTGAACCAAGCAACAAGCAACAGGTCACCAGCTACTTGATGCATACAGCATGACCAATGCAACATGACACATGCGACATGTCTCAACCCTGCTGTCACAATGATACATGCGGCATGCCTCCACCCTGCCCTCCCCAGTCAACCCTGGCCTCACCAGTCAACCCTGCTCTCACCATTCAACCCTGCTCGCTCCATTCGACCCTGCTCTCACCAGTCAACCCTGCTCTCACCAGTCAACCCTGCTCTCACCAGTCAACCCTGCTCTCACCAGTCAGCCCTGCTCTCACAAGTCAACCCTGCTCTCACCAGTCAACCCTGCACACATCAGTCGAGCCCCTCGACGGCAGACGTCTTGTAGAGAGCCCATGGGCGACTCTTGATCTCATGCTGGCCCAAGGCGATTGCAATGACCCATGCAACATGATAAAGGCAACATGACCAATGCAACAGGACCCATGCAGCATGACCCATGCAACATGACCCATGCAGCATGACCCATGCAGCATGACCCATGCAGCATGTCCCAAACCTCCACTCACCAGTCGAGCCCCTCGAAGAGACCATCGCCCTTGACAGCAGACGTCTTGTAGATGGCCCATGGGCGGCTCTTGATCTTGTGCAGACCCAGTGCGTCTGACACCTGCACCTCACTCATGGCCCCAGGCAGATCCTGAGATAGTGAGGTGGGTTGGTGAGGATGGGTGTGAATGGGTGGAAATAGGTGGAGATTATTCTCTCAATCAACCCAAGAGCCCCAATGCGTCCGACACCTGCACCTCACTCATGGCCCCCGGCACATCCTGTGCGGCGCAAAACATGGGTGGAGATGGGTGGAAATGGAAGGCTGGTTGCTCTTTGAGTCGATTCGATTCGTTAGTCCCAATGCGTCTAAAACCAGCACCCTCATTCATGGTTATGTAAACGTCATAGGGGAGAAACAATGGGTGGAGATGGGTGAGGATGGATGGGGTGGGTCGTTCACTCAGTACAACCAGAAGCCCCAATGCGTCTGACAGCTGCAACTTACTCACAGCTCTGGGCAGATCCTGAGAGAAACACAAGGGATGGGGATGGATGAAGAGAAATTGAAAGGGGGATAGAATATAGATAGGCGAAGATGGGTGGAGTGGGTCATTATTTTAACTCAGAATTCAATGCCTCAATGCGTCTGACACCTGCTCTTGACTAATGGCCCCACAAAAATCCTGACAGATGCACACACATGGGATGGTGTTTGGTGGAGAACGGTGAAGGTTGGTGAAGATGGGTCAAGATAGATGGGCTGATATGTCCGTGAAATCAAACCAGAAGCCCCAATGCAATCGAAACAGACACACATAGTGCCCCCTCACTCAGTGCCCCCGCATACCCTGAAGGTCGAGATGGGTGGGGATGGGTGGAGAGATCAGTGGACATGGGGAGGCTTGCACATGTCTCTTGTCGAGGCATGAAATGGTTTCAGGACAGAGCGAGTTTGTGACATTTCAAATGTTTCCTTTTCTGGCAAGAGCATGGAAGAACACCATTCAGGAAAGCGAATGCCCACATCTCGAGTGAAAGATGGCGATTAAGACCCCCCTTGCTTACCTGCTTGTTGGCATACACCAGCACCACTGCTTCCTTCAACTCCTCCTCCTGAACGAGAGGCGTCAGCAGAGGTGGCAGGAGCACAGAGGGAGTGGAGAGGGCAGGGCCGCACAGGGAATGGAGGGGGCAGGGTAAAAGAGGGAATGGAATGAGGAGATTGTGGAGCAGCCAATGACGGGCTGATTACAGGCAGACGAGCTGTCTCCCGAACCCCAGACACTATCAGTCTCGACGCAGTCGAGTTCACTTCATGCTGGGAACTACAGATAGTCGCCCTGATCAGACGAGCATATGCATCCGACGTTTTCTATAATTAAGAATGATTCACGTCCAGTATGGCACGGAAATCCTCCTCCAACGTGCCGATTCGGGTCGGATCCGTGAATCAACCACGTGCTGGGGAGGTAGGTGGCATTGCATGTACCGCCTGGGGCTTGTAGCTGGCATTTGGAGCCATCGCAACAACACTCACATCGAGTATGGCGTGGAACTCCTCCTTTGAGGTCCCGATTCTGTCCACGTCTGTGGAGTCGACCACGTAGATCACTGCCTGCGTGTTGGGGAAGTAGCACCGCCAGTACGGTCTGTTAAGCGCAGAAGAGAGGGGGAAGGGACGGTTGGTCACAGGATGGAGAGAAGTGGAGGTTGGGCGCAGGGGGGAGAGAAAGGGCGAGGATGGAATCGCAGAGCGTGGACGAGGAGTGTGAGGAAGCGAAGGAAAGGCGCCATGCAGAAGAAAAGAAGCAGTGGATTGGAAAAGGACCATAAGATGATAATGTAAGGAGACTGGCCAACTGATGCTAGAGCGGTAAGGGAGGATCATGAGACACGAGGCAGAGATGAGGTAGAGATGAGGCAGGGATGCATATGACAGGGAGCACTTGCACACCTGATACTCGTTTGCCCACCTGCACAGATTAGCACCACATTAAAAGTCCAGGGGGTTCGCATCGAGAGAGGGACAAAGGGAGAACCCGTAAGTTAGTGCCATAACCAGGGAAGAATGAAGTTGTAGCAAAAAAACGCTGGAATAGGGACGAGGGAATGGCAAAGGCGATGTGATAAAAGCTAGGGGAGAATGGTTCTAATAAAAATCAAGGAGGAATGGGAGGGAAAATGAGCAGCTGGGAACCAAGGAGTGAGAATGATTCAGATGATGGTTGAGGGTTGGATCGGGAGGCAGGTTGGAAGGGGAAGGGGAAGGATGAGATGACAGCAGGGGAAGCTTGAGGCGGATTGAGCCATACCCAGGTCCCAGACTTGAAACTTTATATTTTTATATTGAACCGTCTCCACATTGAATCCAATAGCTGCACAGGTCCCAAGTGGCACGAAAGTAAAACGCGATCAGGATAGGGCATGGGCGATGTGACGCAACAGAACGAGATGACTTTTGAGTCGACTCAAAATGTGACGCAACAGAACGTATGAACGATCACACGATTTGCTATTACACTTTCTATTGCCAGAGTGCACGAAATAGCACCTTGGCGAAGCCATGAAAGAACAATTTCAAACAATCTTACTTGGAATTGTTGAGACCACTTCGCCGACCTGCAACCGATCTGCGCAGGCAGGAGGATTCAAAGGCGAGATCACAATGCTGAGGGTACGACGAAGCACACAGGAGGCGCGGTTTACAGGAAAATTCCGGCGAAAAGAAAACGCGCGAAGCGGTCGAATCTGTTAGCGAATCCAGAGCTATTGCTCCCGGCATGCTGCTGCAGCTGGCCTTCCCATATCAAGCGAAGGTCGCTTAACAGCGTTGGCACGCTGGCACGACCAGAAAACATAATCTTCAACAACCAGGCATCCTGTAAGGACAAGCTACTATCTCGCATTGGACGGCATGTGGACTCCTGCTGCGGAAAACAGCAGCCTCGGACCAGCCATGCTGCAAAATACTCAATTTGATCGGAGCCTTTGCCGAGATCCGGATAGCTTCACTTCAGTGCAACCCTGATCTCGAAGAAATCTATTTCTCTAACCTTTCGCTGGTTAAGAATTCAACGGTCATAGCACCAGTGGGAGCAGATGCCAAACTGTACACACGTCAAACGATGCTGGCTGTCGAGTGACGTACACAGGATGGTGGTTTTGCCGGCATTGTCGAGGCCCAGAACGAGAATTCGTGCTTCTCTCTCACCGAACAGTGAGCTCAGCAGCTTCGATATAATCACACCCATCAGCTGTGAAACGATCGCAGGGAGACTAAGCCTGTAAGACGGCAATTTGCGGTAAAAATTCGGTCAGGAATCAACAGTCCGTGGCTGCTGCTATGGTCGTCGTGCTCATAAGCGTTAGCAGTTTCTCGGTCGGTTCCTGACGTAGTTTCAGAGTGCTCCTGCTCCTACGAAGAGAGTTGCGACCTTCTCATAAAGATTCAGGCATCAATCCGCGGTACTCTTTCTACAACCGACGGATCGTCTTCGCACGGCTATGACAATTCGTTACTACGAAAGGTCACGGACGGAGAACTCAGGAGGTCCGGAAACGAGCATAAAACAACTAGGGTGTGAAATTAAATCTATCAAATAGAGGTACTGTCAGCAGAAACAGGGAACCTAGAACAACAGGGATCATTGAGTTCCCAAGGGCAGCACTCAGATCGTGATTCGACCTCCTGAACTTGTGGGACCAGGCAGCAACGGCTTTTTTTTCTGGGCTTGACTGAACAACAACCAAGGTGTGACTGTATCGAGTGTGTCAGGCGAGGAGACTTCCAGAGGCGAAGGCTGGAATGGCGGGTTTCCTCTAGCCAACGAATGTGCTCACACTTTTCGCGATCGTACGCGTTACGAGCTCGAAAACGAACATAGCAGAAAACCAAAGGCCAAGATGTATACACCAAGAAACTTCAAGATTCCAGACTTGGCACTTACAAGCAAGGAAGACCAGAATTTCTATTCTTGTGAGTCCATGTGAGTCCAAGTGGATCACTTATTGACGTCGAGGACATTGGTGGCGCGCAGTGTTAACGTAGAAATGAATGATTACTAGAGGTGGAAACCTAGAACAAATACTAGTTGGTTGTACTCACTAGAAGCATACCTCAGTCTAGCCTATAACTTCTACATAGATAATATGTATAAGTTGACACACCCCCTAGGCTAGACAAGGGGTGAAACTAAACAAGAAGCAAACAGCTCAGGGCGGCACTACTAGTCCAACCACTGAGGCAGGGGTCTGGAGACCAGTCAGCAAGAATACAACCAAAACTGAAGCAAGCCAGGGTGGCACTACTAGTCCAGCCACTGGAGGTAAGGCCACAAGGCCAGTCTGACAAGCATATATAATAGAGAGTACACAATCAGGATCCTAACAGGGGAGCAGCTATAGGAACAAGACCAAGCTGTACACAGTGCCGCTGATGATCTTTAGGCGCAAGCGCCTTAGTAAAGATATCAGCTGTGTTGGCACCTGAGGCCAAGTGAACTACGCGGGCCTGGCGGCGCTGCTGTAGCTCGCGCAGGAGGAAGTACCGCAGCTGGATATGCTTCGCTCTGCCCTCAAGCCGAGGCTCCTGACACAGGAGTATCATGGCCCTGTTGTCAGCGTACAGGACCGGGGCAGAGCTAGGCCGCTCACCTAAGTCTGTGAGCAAGAAGGTCAGCCAGCGGAGCTCCTGTGCCGCCATGGCACCAGCGTAGATCTCAGCCTCACAGCTAGACTGAGCCACAGACGACGAGCGAGTGGATCTCCAAGAGATAGCACCCGAACCAAGGCTGAAACAGTAGCCCTGCGACGACCTGAGCGTCTCAGCGTCGTCTGCCCAAGAAGCGTCTGTGTGCCCAGTAAGGACCACTGGCCTGCGTCCTCCTAGCACTAACCCCATGCCTGATGTACTAGCAAGATAACGCAAAACCCTCTTAGCGGCAGACCAGTGCTGAGGTCGGTGTCTGCCTGTAGCCACAAAGCGAGCCAGGATGCTGAGAGGGTATGCGAGATCTGGGCGAGTGCAAGTCATCAAGTACATGAGGCAACCCACCAGCTCTGCGTAGGGGCCACTGGGCTCTACTGGCTCCTCAGGAACGGGAGCAGAGAGCCCATGGTCTACGGGTAGAGGTATGGGCTGTGCGGAGGAGAACTGAAGACCGAACCTCTGAAGGACCTGACGCACCAAGTGTGACTGGGTCAGAGTGATGGTGTGTGCTGCTCTGTCCCTAGAGATCTGCAGGCCAAGATAGCGACGCAGCTCTCCAAGGTCAGTGCAGGTGTGTCTCTTCAGCAGCTCAGCCTTCACAGAGGCCAGTGCGTCCCTGTCAGGAGTAGCGAAGACCAGGTCGTCTACGTAGACAAGGATGTAGAACGGAGTCTGGCCGGAACGCACAAACAGTGAAGGGTCAGCAGAGGACGGAAAGAACTGCAGGTCTGCTAACGTGGCACGTAGCGTGTCGTGCCACTCGCGGGGAGCCTGACGCAGGCCGTAGACCGGGCGCCTGAGAAGCCACTGGCTCCCAGGAGGGAAGGTACCAGTGAAGCCCTGTGGTCGGCGCAGGTAGACCTGCTCGTGTAGGCTGCCCTGAAGAAAGGCAGTAGAGAAGTCGAGGGAGTGAAGCTCGTAGTCACGCTGTGCTGCTACGTGTAGCAGCGCCCGAAGAGTGGTCATCTTCGGGGTCGGGGCGAAGGTCTGGAAGAAGTCAACCCCCTCGCGCTGACTGAAACCTCTGGCCACGTAGCGCGCCTTGAAGACAGGCGGCTCTCCAGGGGGGCGCTTCACCTTGAAGAGCCACCGACCATCGACTACGTTCACCCCAGGCGGGGGAACTGCGTCGACGTAAGTGCCGGTGGATCTCCAAGATGCCATCTCCTGCTCCATGGCAGCTATCCACTGAGAGGCCCAAGGTCCCGAGGTGGCCTCAGCGTAGGTGCGAGGGGTCGGGATGTCGAAGGCGTCTGGGTCACCCTCAGGGACTAACAGCATGGAGCAGAGATGGGGAGCAGCCTCGGAAAGGAAAGCCAGCTCGTACTGCCTGTCCTCTAGGACGTCACTGCCAAGGGCAGGAGCACCCCCGACGGACAGAGGACGGGCAGGGTCAGAGACCAGAGCGGTAGCGTAGTCAAGGCGGCGGGTAGAAGCGAAGTCAGCGACAGCAGCGACAAGCGCGTCAAGGCGCGAGACAGGAACAGCAGGGTCGGTAACAAGAGAGGCAAGGACCCGAGGGACAAGGGGACGAGCAGCACGGAGGTAGTCAGAGAACGGAGGAGGTGCAACAGCAAGGGACGAGGGAGGAGGGGACGGAAGGAGGGGAGGACGAGACGAGTGGGAACGGAGCAACATAGGGTGGGTGGGCAGGACAGGAGAGACGGGACGAGCACGGGAGGGACGGCGAGCCCAAACGTGAGACGGAGGGGTAGGGTCAGGGGACAGCGGAGGAGACACAGGAGGGGAACGAGGAGGAAGACGGGCCGGAGACGAGTCTGGCGGCGGGAACACAGGACCGTAGACAGGGAGGTCAGGAGGCGGTGGGGGAGACACCGGCGCGCGGTCCGGGGAGGGAAGGCCGAGCAGGCGGAGAGCGGAAACCGGCGGCGACGGCTGCTGCGGCGGCGACGACGGCTGGGCCGGAACTCTCGGACCAGCAGAGGCAGAACGACCGTCGGCAGAACACTCAACAGCAGCACCCCCAGAACCAACACCCCCAGAGCGAGAACCCCCTCCAACACCAGCGGCACCCCCAGAAGCCGCAGGACGAACACCCTCCTCCACACCAGCACCCCCAGGGGCCGAGAGCAGCGGCGGCAGTGGCGGCAACGGCTGCGGCGGCGGCGACAGCGGCGACGGCTGCGGCAGCGACAGCGGCGGCGGCGGCGACGACAGTGGGGGCGGAGGCACCGGGGAAGGGGGACGCGGCAAGGACGGACCGGGGGTACCACCAGAGTCAGCAGACTCCTCAACGGGGACAACCGACAGGAGGGGAGTGACGTGGGAGACACCAGACGGGGCAGGACGAGGCGGGAGAGGGGCAGGGGCTACCGGGGGAGAGGGAGCAAGGAAAAGGGGGGGGGCAACTGGGAGACCTCGGTGAGGGAAGCGGCGGTAGAAGGAGACGGACTCATCAAAGGTGACGTCACGAGAGTGGAGGAAGCGGTGAGACGGCGGGTGGTAGAAAAGCCAGTCAGACGAGTCCTGGGGGAAACCGAGGAAGACACAGGGGACAGTGCGGGCAGTGAGCTTGTCCGTGCCAGAGGCACGAACGTGAGCAAGGCAGCCCCACACGTGGAACGCAGACGCGTCACCGGGGGACCCGGTCCAAAGGAGGGTCGGCGAAACCTGCGGCCGCTGGGAGCGTGGCCACAGGTTAAGCTGGTGAGCCGCGTAGCGAACAGCGAACGGCCACAGAAAATGGGGGGCATCGGCATGGATCATGGAGGTACGGGCGACCTCCATGACCAAGCCGATGCGGCGCTCAGCAACCCCATTCTGCTGTGGCGAGTCCGGCAACGTGTACGACTGGGTGATGCCCTCCGCACGACAGAACTGTCCAAGCCGACCAGAGGCGAACTCGCCGCCACGGTCGGAGTGGAGACACAACACGGGGAGACCGCGGTGGAGACGCGCAGCTACAACCCACGGGAGAAGAACGTCGGGCACGTCGGCCTTCCGCTCCAGGGGAAACACCGTGGTGTAGCGCGTGTAGTCGTCGACAAGCACAAGGAAGTAGCGCTCACCGCGCGGTCCGGGGACGGGGGCAGGGCCCCAAACGTCCAAGTGCAGGGTCTGAAGGGGGGCAGTAGCAGGACGCAGCGAGGAGGAGTGAGGAGCACGGCGGAGCCGACCCTCGACGCAAGGCGTGCACGGTGGCGCAGTCGAGGGAGGAAGGGCAGGGAGCGACGCGGGGAGACCTAAGACAAGACCGTGCTGGGACATGTGACGCAGACGCGGGAGAGCAGGGTGACCTAAGCGGTGGTGCCAGAGAAGGGAGGGGTGAGTGAGGGACCGACACGAGCAAGCTGCAGCGACCTGGGAGGACGCACCAACCGGGGGGGAAGCGGTGTGTAGGGTAAACAGACCGGACACCGGGTCCCGGGGGAACGTCGCAAGGGGGGAACCTGAGACAGCCTCAGAACAGACAGCGAACCGCTCGTGCCCGGGGAACGTGGTGGTGACGCCGAGGTCCTGGAGACAGCCGACACCAACCAGGTTCCTGGAGAACGAGGGAACGTGGAGGCCAGTAAGGGAGCCCGAGGGAACTGCCGGACAGGGAAGGGACGTAGAACTGCGCGCGACGACCGGACCCGCAGAGGGGTCAGCGAGAGAGACAACAGCAGGTGCAGCAAGCGGCGTGAGCGTGGAACGGTCGCGGAAGAAGCAGGCAGAAGCACCAGAGTCGAGAGTGAAGGACAGCGACGCAGTGGCGGGGACCGGGGACGGAGCCGGTGCAGCGACTAGACTAGGCAACCTAGGCAGTCCTACGCCTGTCGCAGCAGGGGAAGCTAAGCTACACAAGGGTGAAACACCTAAACTAGATTACACAGGGTAGTAAGATCCATCAACACTAGAAGCGTCAGCATACAAAGCATGCAAAGCAGCACCTATCTGATCCATGTCTAACTCAAAGATCGGCACGCCCTGGCGGAGCAGGCTGTGCCAGTCAGGGAGGTCCGGGGCCGGGCCAAAGCGACGACGAAAAAGATCGTCGAGGCGGCGGAAACAGCGGGCGGTCGGGTGCGGGCGGCGGCACAGAGTGCCGCGGAGAGGCCCGGTCTGAAGCTGGTACTGGCAGGTCACAGCACTGGAGCCGCTGGTAGACGCCAAGCTGCGCGGGCCGCCACCACGGCCACCGCCTCCGGAGGTGCCGGGCCAACCAGGCGGGAGACGAGCCCACGGCTGCGGCGGGTGCTGCTGGGACGGCGGCTGCGGCTGGGGCTGGTCCTGCTGCTGCTGGGACTGCTGCTCCTGCCCACCGGTGGTAGTCCCCTCAGGCGGACTACCGTCACCACCACCACGACCACTACCACCTGCGTCACCACCCCTACCTCCCTGGCGGCCACGGCCACCGCGACGCGAGCGCTGCTGCGGGTGGACAGCAGCAGCCGTCTCGGTAAGAGGGGTCGCCGTGGCGACCGCAGCCGAAACGTCAGTGAACGTGCACGGGGATGGGGCACAGCCGTGAAAGATAGAGACTGGCGGCGCACCGCTCGACTGAGCGATAGTGCGCTGGCGAGTCTCGATCTCAGTGAGGGTGTCGACAAAGGCGGTCAGGGTGAGGTCACCCGGGTGTTGGCTAAGAAAGTGGTCGCGAGCACTAGCGAGGCGGTCTGGCAGGCGCATAGCGATAAAATAGAGCGTCATGCAGAAAGGAGGGGGGAGCGCAGTGAGCTGGGCAGCAGTGCTGGCAGTGCGATAGCGAGTCTCTAGGGCACGCAAATGAGTGGCAAAATCTGCGACAGTAGGGAAGGCAGCCAGGTCTGGGAACAGCATCGGAAAGAGCAAGCGGCCAGCAGAAGCGGAGGCAGGGGTGGAATAGCGAGCAATAACGGCGTCTAAATAAGCTTTGGCCGTTTCAACAGTAGCAAAACGCGAGCGCTCAGACACAGGGAGGGCGTGACTAATAGCAACCTGAGCTACTGCATCGCGTGAGTCCCAGATCGCACAGGCCAGCGCAGCAGTAGAGAAAGCCTCACGGTCATCAGAGGAGGGGTCAGCAGGGAGGGGAGTAGGTGCAGGGGGACGGGGGAGCAAGCCATCAGCATGGACAACCAGAGAGTGGCCATCCTGGCGCTGACCTGTAAGCTGGCGGCGAAGATCGGAGAGCCAGGCGGCGAAGTCAACCGCGTGGCCCTCAGCGTCCAGTCGGAGCACAAAGTCAGCCATCGTGCAGGGTCAGCGGCACAGCTCCTCAGCGACACAGCGGCACAGCAGCACAGCTCCTCAGCGGCACAGGAGCACAGCGGCGCAGGGACACGGCGGCAGCACTCTCCAGTAGGGCAGCAGCTAGGCGTCCCAGCGCAGGCAAGCAGAAGACACAGGGCCCGAGAGGACACGGCAGGCCGAGCAGGGGAGGCGGGCAGGTGCTCTGGGGCCGGGCTGGTGCTGGGAGGGGCCAGGCTGGTGCTGCTGGGGCCGGTCGGGCACGAGGAGGGGCCGGGCAGCGCTGAGGAGAGGCCGGGCGGCGCTAGGAAGGGGCCGGGCGGCACTAGGAGGAGGCCGGGCGGCACTAGGAGGAGGCCGAGCGGCACTAGGAGGAGGCCAGGCGGGCGAGCGCTAACAGCAGGCGCGACAGGGGCCAGCGGGCGCGACGGGGCCTAAGGGGCGCGACGGGGCCCAGCGGGCACGACGGGGCCCAGGGTGGGCGCGACGGGGCCGAGGAGGCGCGACGGGGACCAGCGGGCACGACGGGGCCCAGGGGGGCCGCGACGGGGCCTAACGGGCGCGACGGGGCCCAGGGGGGGCGCGACGGGGCCTAGCAGGCGCGACGGGGCCTAGGAAGCGCGAAGGGGCCCAGCGGGCGCGACGGGGCCTAGGAGGGGCGCGACGGGGCCGAACGGGCGCGACGGGGCCCAGAGGGGGGGGACGCGACGGGGCTTAGGAGGCGCGACGATGCCTAGGAGGCACGACGGGGCTCAGCGGGCTCGACGGGGCCCATGGGGGGCGCGACGGGGCCTAGGAGGCGCAACGGGGCCCAGCGGGGGCGCGTTAGGGCCTAGGGGTCGCGACGGGACCCAGCGGGCGCGACGGGGCCTAGGGGGAGCGCGACGGGGCCTAGGAGGCGCGACGGGGCCCAGCGGGCACGACGGGGCCCAGGGGGGGCGCGACGGGGCCTAACGAGCGCGACGGGGCCCAGGGGGGGGCGCGACGGGGCCTAGGGGGCGCGACGGGGCCTAGGAGGCGCGACGGGCGGAAGCGGTAGGCGGGGGGATCCTAACCTAAGCGTGATACCATGTTAACGTAGAAATGAATGATTACTAGAGGTGGAAACCTAGAACAAATACTAGTTGGTTGTACTCACTAGAAGCATACCTCAGTCTAGCCTATAACTTCTACATAGATAATATGTATAAGTTGACACGCAGAACCCTTTGATTGCGATCGAAATTTGACAACAGAAGAAACATGATAACGAACTTATTTCAAGCAGCTCAATATTGCCATCTGGGAAACACCATCACCCACCCATTGCAGTCAGCTTTCACCATTCTCTCTGCTTCCTCTCACCTCCATTTTTCTTCCTGACACCCTCCCCCTCAACCCCCCTCATTTCCCTGGCTTTCCAGTCCCAGCGCAAATGCTGACCGTAGAGAGGCTTAGCGTACCGTCTCCCTCACTCGCTTGCCTTCGCCCGGCACTCATCTGATGCAGGTTGACCATGGAGAGGCTCTTTGATGCTATGCCCCCCCCTCTCTCACTTGCCTCCGCCCTGCACCCATCTTCTGCATGGTGACCATGGAGAGGTGGCAGTTCCATACAAGCGAGCAGGCAGAGGAGAAGGCAGGGCGCAGGCGCAGCGGCACCATGTGGAACGAGGCGAAGCTGGCCGGCACCCAGAAACGCCACCCGCGCCTCCACGTGCGCACGAAATCTTGCCGGTACTTGTCTGAGTGAGGGAAAGATGGTGATTGGTGCAGGTGATATGGCCTAGGAGCAGAATGAGTTTGGGAGTTCATGGGACAACGGCGGTCATTGAGGGGGGGAAAGAGAACATGCAAGATAAGGAGCAAGAGAAGAAACAAAGGAAATGGAGAGGGACACTGTGGTACTAAGATCAGGGGACGGGAACACACCTTTGAGTGCGTGCAACTGGCCAGTGCACGCGTAATTAAACGCGAACACAGCAGCAATGAGGCACGGGTTGAGCAGTGCCTGTGAGGCCAACACCTTCACCACCGTCGCGCCCATGCCCCGCCCGGGCGCTGCCCTCTCCACCAGTGGGTACCACACGTGCAGCGCGGGCCCGTAGATGCACGCACCGTACGCCATCATGCGCGCGGATCTCGCCGCATTGAACGCTGATACCACTCCTGCTGCCGCGTTGCCAGCGGAGTCTCTAGATAAGGCGCTGCTGCTGCTGCTGCTGCTGCTGCTGCTGCTGCTGCTGCTGAGAGTCTCCGCATCATCGCCTCGCGCGCTGTGGATCTGCGCCGGTTTTCCAGCGGACGAGAGCTCGATGCACTGCGCGCACACGTCCCCGCCCGCCAGCAGCGCGCCTGACGTCGCGGACGTGCGGAGCATTGGCGGAAGACGCTGGGCGGACTGGAGGAGCACGGAGACAAGGGGGGGCGCTCGGAGCTGACGCGCGCGGTTGACGTGCGTGGGGATCTGGTCGACGAGGGGGAGAAGCACGCCGGTGGAAACCCTGTTAGCGTCCCCTCCGCCCTCTCCTCCGCCCCCTTCCCCTTCTCCGCTTGAACCACGCCCCCCTGGACCTCCTCCTCCGCCTGATCCCCCGGATCCGCTTCCCCTCCCGTCACCGTCGCCTCCCTTTCCCCCACCCTTTCCAGAATCCCCATTCCGCCCGCTTGGCCCTCCCCCACTCCCTGCTCCGCTTGCTCCGCCTCTGCTGGTCCCCCCTCCGCCTTCCCCCCCATGCGCTCGTCTGCTTTCTCCGCCGTTCTCGTTGCGCACCGCTCGGATCTTTCCGTTTCGCGCTCTGCGATTCGTACTGCTGCGTGACTTTTGAGGCGCCTCAAAAGCTGCTCTGTTATTTCTATCACTGCTGCGACGCGGTAACGGAATTTGCGCTGTCGCGAATGCAGGACGCGACGAGCCAGAAGGACGGGAGCGGCCGATTGCGGAGTAAACAGACGCGCACGCGGGAGGAGCGGAAGCCGCCATTCGGAAAGAGAACGAAAATCGATTGATGGTTGGATCGGAGTTCGACAACGTGAAGCGTCCGCGATACAAGCTAGCACGGCAATGGGATGGAATTATGGGAATGCTGCTGTTGCGCAAAATGACATGAAGATCAAGTGAAACTGTTGCGAGAGGAAAGGAGGTGAAGGGCCAGCTGCGTCATTGGCCGCTTTTGTTTGGTTGCATGGAGAGTGTCGCGCTTCCACAAGGCCTGCGAAGTGACGAAGTGGAACACTGTAACTAACGAACGGTAACCTCTCGTGAGGCTCCAATCCGAGCCTTTCGTGCACTCATCCCACAGGCCACAAAATCCCACTATTGCCACTGCCCTGCTCTTTCATTGCTCAAATATCTTCATTACCGTACCGCATCTCTCCAGAATCTCTTTTTTTCACCTCAATTCCCTAACCTTCCCGATCTCGAACAACGGCCCTCTGGTTTCCAACATGACGGTGTGGAATACAGGTTGCAAATGATAACAACCAAGCTCCGCCGTGATTCAGCTGACAATGTTTCTCCGTTCACCCCCTCAGCCTTAGTTCCGAGCTACTCTTAGTACATCATTTCTTAAGATTTTTTCTCCAGTAACCGGACTGCTGCCGAGTTTTGAGACGTCTCAGAAAGTGCTCCCGTGGCTGGACTGTTGCTCCCTAATTCGCTCGGTCTTCGGCCGATTTACACTCCAGTGTAGAATGGGGACATCTCGAGGCAGTACTTCATAGTGTTAAGAAAATGAGAAGTTTTTTTTGTTCAGACGAAAAGGGCTAGCAATTTGATTTCCGTTACCATGCCTGGACTTCGCACATTTCTCGTGAACAGTATGGTTTCGCAGCAGTCATTCTCAATGGGCCATTCCTCGCTCGTGCGACGGTCGCTTCTGCCTCTGCTGCTGCTCGCGCTGTCACTCGGCGGATTAAGAGTGTCAGGTACGAGTGCTGCTCGCCAGTGCTGCTCGCCAGTGCTTCTCAATGTGCTGCTGGGACCACCACACGTTGCTAGTCCGTGGTTGCTGTATGCCTGTGGGTAAGGGATCTGAGTGCGTGTGAGTGCCTCGCATGCATGTGATGCGAACCATATCAAGGCTCATCCTCCCCCCTCTCCTCCCTCCTCTCCTCCCCCTCTCCTCCCTCCTCTCCTCCCCCCTCTCCTCCCCCTCTCCTCCCTCCTCTCCTCCCCCCTCTCCTCCCCCCTCTCTTCCCTCCTCTCCTCCCCCCTCTCCTCCCTCCTCTCCTCCCCCCTCTCCTCCCTCCTCTCCTCCCCCCTCTCCTCCCCCCTCTCCTCCCTCCTCTCCTTCCCCCTCTCCTCCCTCTCCTCCCTCATCTCCCCCTCTCAACCTCCCTCTCCCCTCTCCCTCCTCCCTCCCCAACCGCCCCACCCCACCCCTTTCCCCGTGCAGCTTCTTCCCGGCCTATAGTGATCGGTCGCAGGGGCGCCATGGGGCCCATGCCTGAGAGCACCCTGGAGGGATACGATAGGGCGATCGCCGATGGGGCGGACTATGTGGAGTGCAACGTGATCTGGTGAGCTGCCTTTCTGGTCTTGTGCGATGGGCTTGGGGTGTGTGGCTTGACGTGCATGCTTGGTGTGTGTGGCTTGACGTGCATGCTTGGGGTGTGTGGCTTGACGTGCATGCATGGGGTGTGTGGCTTGACGTGCATGCTTGGTGTGTGTGGCTTGACGTGCATGCATGGGGTGTGTGGCTTGACGTGCAAGTCAACGCTACATGAAAGGCATACCGGACGGTGAGATCTGCAAACCCCCCTCCCCCCCCTCTCCCCCTTTGGTGACCAGCACGGCGGACTTGGAGCTGATTTGTTGGAACGACTTGGACCTGTCGCTGGTGACCAACGTGGTGCACCACCCGGAGCTGAGTCAACTCAAGTCAACGGCGGTCATCGAGGGGCAGGAGATGCAGGGCTTCTTCGCCTTCAACTTCACGCTCCAGCAGATCCAGATCCTCCGAGGTGGGCTTGGCACATAGACACCATATCAGATCCAGATCCTCCATTCCATGCACAGCAGTGGAGCAGCGATACCAGCGGCGGGACAAAGAGCATGCCGTGGCACATTAACACAACAAACACCTGCACGCACATGTCCCCCACCTTCCCCCTCCCTTGCCTGCAGAGCAGTGGAGCAGCGCTACCAGCGGGGAGACAAGACCCTGGCACAGGTGTCTTTGATGCCCGCCTATAGGCACTCCTGTGTACACGTGTCCCATTCCCCTCCCTTCCCCCCCTCCCCGCCCTCACCCTCTCCCGTCCTTTACTAGTGGCAAGACAAGGGTGCGTGATTGTGCACCAAGCTATGCACATGCCTGTTCACCCATCTCTCTCAAGCGGTCCGTTTATTGCTTGGAATCCTGAGTACAGGCTAGGCAGGTGGGGAGCGACAAGTCATGGTACGTGCATGTTGGGAGGCCCGGTCCTACTCGAGCTCCCCTAGGGGCTCGGCTATGGCAAAGCAGTCACCTGGCGCCATGTCGGCGTCAGGGGTGCCCACGGGGGTGTGGGGGGCAGGGGAGGCTTCATTTACTTTGCCCAGGTAAGCCAAGGCCTGTGCCCGCTGCAGCGTCACTGACCATCGTTGGCGAAACTGGTGGAGCAGTTTCGCTGCCTGGTAGGAACTGGGGTCCGCATTAAAGAGTCTCCTGGCCCCTGTGTCTGCTAGCAGCTTCAAAAAGGTGGGGACCTCGGCGCAGGGGCAGCCATAAGTCTCCACGGCCAGGGGGAAGAAACCGACATAAGGTGCGCGGTTACGGTAATGGTCAATCTTTTTGTCGGCTTGCTCCCGGGCCATATATCCCCGCCCCTTACGAGCGTGTGGGTCCCGGGTGCTGATGGGATCCGTGACAGTGACGTCACAGATCCAGACGGCACCCGAGTTCCTGTCGCGCATGGCTAGGTCGGCCTTATGACCGTCCACCGGACTGTAGATAGTGGTCTCCTTGGTGACGATGAACCCGGCATCCCGCGCCATACGGATGCATTCGTCGCGAAGTGCATTGTGGGTGTCTGTCCGGCCATGCCCCGTGCCGCAGCGGAAGAGGTGGTTGGGCAGCCGGGGGTCAAGTATCTCGGTCCCGTCGGCGCAGTTGCAAGTGCGTGGGGCCGGGAAAGGGAGGCCGAGACGGAAGGCGAGGGCGATGGCAAAGTGCGGAGGTTCGAGGCGGAGAGAAGGGAATATGGGACGGCGTGGATCCAATCCCCTGCCCCGTAGCCCGCCAGAGAGAACAGGCGCTGTGTGTGGCCGGAAATGGGGTTCAGCTCCATCCCGCGGGACGCCGCCACTTGGTCCGCATATCGGGCGGCGTGGACTTCAAGGGAGAGTCGGTGCTGGAGTGGGGATCCGGATGGCTCCTCGCGTTCGGAGTGCAGGAGCTCTAGTGCATGGGTCGGCATGGCCGCCTCACACCCTGCCAGCCAGGTATGGAGATGGTTGGGGCCAGAGAAGGGGGGCGTGAGGGGGCACAGTGCGGACGCCAGGGGCCCTGCTGCTGCTGCTGGCAGGGCGGCGAGGAGGTGCTGCGCCTGGGTGACGCTGGTCAGGAAGGCTGCAGGGCCTTCAATGGCGGGGTCGGAGAGGCCTAGCCCTCCGAGCGATGGCGGAAGTGAGGCCTGGGCCCAGGTGCGCATTCGTTCGGCTTCCCCTCGAGGGAGTTGGAGTTTGCATGCGCCGAGGAGGGTGTGGAAAAGCCCCCGTCCCCACTCCGTCCACTCGGGTTGTGGGAGGAAATCCAGCGGCGTGGTGCGGGTCAGGTAGCTGACCCGCCGTGAGATGCAGCGCGTAAGGAGGAGAGAGGCCGTTTGGGGGTCCATGGTTGCGATGGTGGGGAGTGGCTCAGCCAGCGAGGCCAGCTGGGAACGGAGGAAAGCGGCTGAGCCCTCCGCTGTCCCGACAAAACTCCCCAGCACCCGCAGTCCCTCGCTGTGGAAAGGGACGTCCGGGGGAAGGGCGTCGGGTGGGGGAGGAGTTGGGGACCACGCCCCGCATTTCGAGGGGTTGTGCGTAAGGCCGATGGCCCCCATGGCGCCCGTGTGAAGTGGTGGAAGGCCGCTGCACAGGCGGCCGGTGCACCTACGAACGTCACGTCATCCGCGTAGGCTAGACAGAGGACATCTGGGTGGGCGGTGGCTGTCGATTGGAGCGCGGGGTGGATAGCTGCAGCGAAGAGCAAAGGGCCCATGGGGTCCCCTTGTCGGACGCCCCGTGCACTCCGGAGTGGAGGGCTGGCAAACCCGTCGTCGAGGTACAGAAGCGATGGGGCACCGTACGAAAAACGGATAAACGGTAACAGCGGACGTAGGGGCGAGGCGTCGATGGCGGTGATTATCGCCCCTCGCTCAACGCTGTTAAAAGCGTTTGCGAGGTCCACTTGGACAATGACGGAGCCGGGATGTACGGAGGTGAAAGCCCGAGTGGCGTGGATGACTACTTCTCCGCCGCTCCGAATTGCGACGCCGAACTGAAGGGGGAGAAAGTATTCTTGTGCGGGCTGAGTTGTCGAGATGAGGGCGGATTTGGCAGTAAGGCGGTGGAGACATTCACCTATGGCGATGGGGCGTGTTCCGCCATCAGGTTTGCGAAGGGCTAGCAGGCGTGACGCCGTTAACAGCGTGCTGACCTCCTGGGGCAGGTTACCAGCAAGGAGCAGCTGCACAATTTCGTGCAGGAGCTTGGCGACGTGCGGATTAGTGAGCGAGGCGTCTCTCAGGTGTTCGAAAGTCATCCCCGAAGGGCCGGCCCCCACTCCGTTTTCGCTTCGCGAAAGTAGGCGAGTGAAATCAACGAAGTCCAGCGTCGGCGGGGTGACGTCGTCCAGTGAGGGCCACGCAAGGGCCTCTGTCAACGGTCGCGGGTGTTTGGACTTCAGCGAGTCACGAACCTCCAGGGTTGACTCGCTGACTGGGGTTGACTGGAGTGCCTGTAGGGCGCGGCGAAGGTTGCCTCGTCGCACCAGCCCCTCGGCTCGGGAGATTTTCCCGAGGTCGTCACGAACATGGCGAGGGGGCGCAGGCAGTGTGACAGCCGCTACTGCTGACTGGTAGAGGGCATCCCACTGGCCTGCGAGGAACTGCCGCAGACGAAATTCCATCGCT